AATAGCTACCCCTTCCCGCTCATTACGGAGTTGTTGGAGAGGTTGCAAGAGGCCACTATCTTCACCAAGCTCGATCTTCGAGGGGCCTACAACCTGGTGCGGATGCGAGAGGGGGACGAATGGAAGACGGCATTTGGCACCCGATACGGCCATTTTGAGTACACTGATGCCGTTTGGGTTGACCAACACCCCCGCAGTCTTCCAGCACCTGATGAATGACGTGTTTCAGGATATGCTAGATTGGTTCGTGGTGGTGTACCTGGACGATATTCCGAGTCCAGGGACAGTCACCTTCAACACGTTCGTCTGGTCTTGCAACGCCTTCAGGAGCACCAACTTTATGTGAAGCTGGAGAAATTTCTTCTTCCAGACTTCCATTGAGTTCCTTGGGCACATCATTTCTCCCAAAGGCATCGCCATGGACCCGCGTAAGGTGGAGGCCTTATGTAGTTGGGAACCCCCTCGTGGTGTGAAGGACGTTCAACGCCTATTGGGGTTCGCTAACTATTACCGGACCTTCATCCTGGGTTTTGCCAAGCTGACGGGTCCAATAACTCAGCTCCTTCGAAAGAAGGTCCCGTTCCTGTGGGGGCCCCCGCAGCAACAGGCTTTTAAGGCCTTCAAGAATGCTTTTGTCGCAGAACCCGTCCTGAGGCACCCTGATCCGCATCGTCCTTTTGTGGTGGAGACGGATGCGTCCAACGTGGCTATTGGGGCGGTGCTGTTGCAAGCCCCGGTGGATGGCGCCACTCTTTTTCCCTGCGCTTATTATTCCCGGAAACTCACTCCTTCCGAACGCAATTACACCATGTGGGAAAAAGAGTTGCAGGCTATCAAGGCTGCATTTGAGACTAGGCGACATCATCTCAGGGGGGCCTGACACAAGGTAGAGGTCCAGACAGACCATCGGAATTTAGAACATTTGTCAACGGCACGAAAGTTGAACCAGCGGCAGATCCGGTGGTCGTTGTTTTTTGCCCGGTTCAATTTTTCTGTGACCTATATCCCCAGTGGTCACAATCGGAGGGCGGATGCCCTGTCCCACAAACCTGAGTACCTTTGCCCCGAGGACCCCCTTCCTCCACGGACAGTGCTGCCAGCAGAATCCTTGGCCGCAGTCCAGGAACCGGTGGACTTGCGGACTCAGGTGCAAGAGGCGCAGCGCCTAGACGCTTGGTCGCAACAGAGGATGGGGGAGATTGGACCCGAATCCCCATGGACTTTGGAGGAGGGCTTACTCAAGCATCGGGGCCAGTTGTACGTACCCACGGGGCAGCTTCGAGCCCTTATTATGATTCAGTGTCACGACAACCCTGCAGCTGGCCATTTTGGATTTTTTAAGACCCTCCATCTTGTAACGCGGACTTTTTGGTGGCCTCGAGTACGGCATGATGTCCACGCCTATGTCATGTCCTGTGTACCGTGCAGGCAAACGAAAGCCGTGACGGGTGCGCCTCCTGGTCTCCTCCAACCTCTGCCGACTCCAGAAAGACCATGGGGAGCGATTTCCATGGACTTCTTGACTCATTTACCATCATCCTCAGGATTTACGACTGTGCTTGTGGTGGTCAACATGTTGACAAAAATGGCCCACTTCATTTCGTGTCATAAATTGCCATCGGCCCGTACAACTGCCCGTTTGTTCTTGCAGCATGTTTTTCGTCTCCATGGTCTGCCAGACAGGGTAGTTTCTGATCGCGGTGTACAATTTACAGCCCAATTTTGGAAAAGCCTGATGACCGTGTTACAGGTGCAGGTGTGCTTGTCGTTGGCACACCATCCAGAAACTGATGGTGGGACGGAGAAGGTCATTGGCATTCTCGAGCAATATTTGCGTTGTTTTGTAAACCACCGGCAGAACAATTGGGTTGATTATCTCCCTCTGGCGGAGTTTGCATTCAACAACTCCCAGCACACCTCCACCCAAATGACACCATTTTATGCTAATGTGGGGTACCATCCGCGGTTCTTTCCATTGACACTATTAGATTCCCCTGTTACCGAGACTCAGGAATTCCTTTCGGAACTACACTCAGTTCAGCAGTTAGTTCGGCAGCAACTGATACGGGCCAAGGAAGATTAAAAGCAGTTCGCAGATCGCTCTCGACGGGCAACGCCTCCGCTGGCTGTAGGAGACCGTGTGTGGTTGTCCACAAAACATCTTCAGGTCGACCGCCCGATAAAGAAGCTGGACCATCGGTTCATCGGCCCATTTCCCATCGAGACGGTCATCAACCCCGTAGCCTATCGACTGACTCTACCGCGCTCCATGTGAATTCATCCAGTCTTCCACCATTCCCTTTTGGTCCCTGACGCCCCTTCATGTGATCTTCGACATCCCGCAGCTGATGATCTACCACCTGTGCCCGGTGAAGATGACGTAGTTGATGGCAACGTGGTTGGCATTAGGGATTCCCACTGGCTGAAAGGGCGGTTCCAGTATTTGATCGAGACGCAGGGGGATGGGCCAGAGGCCCTTTCCTGGGTGGATGCTTCCATGATCCACGCCCCAGACCTTATACGGATGTTCCATGACCATTTCCCCTTGAGACCACATCCTGACCGTCAGACTTGGGGGAAGGGCCCTGCGGTGAGGGATAGTGTGTTGGCTCCGATTCCCGAGCCTGTGCTGTTAGAGGAAGAGGACTCGGAAGATGAGGAGGAGGAACTGGGAATGCCTTCCTCCCCAGAACCTTCCTCTCTGGCAATGCCTTCCTCCCTGATAATGCCTCAGGTTTCATCAGACAACCGAGAGGAACAGCCTGAGATTAATCAGGAGGAAGGCATATAGGAGCAGCCCCTGACAGGGAGTCAAGAGGAAGAATGTTGGCTTGATCCTAAGCAGCGCCATAGGAAGAAATGTGAGCAGCAACGTAGGAGGCGTGGGAGGGTCAGAGAGTGAGCTGAGTCATTGAGCCACACCCTACAGGGGATAAAAGTGGGTGTGTTGTCGGCTGCAACTTTGTATGGGACAAAGTTTAATCTTGCTTCAGGTTTTCTTTGTGAATGATTTTATGGTCTGCCTTGTAATTTTCTGGAAGTAGCTTTTTACTTGTTATCAGTTCGGACTTGGCAGGCAGAGCGTGTTGGAATGCCAAGGACATTATCAGTTCCAAAGAATTAACTCTGTGAAGTCCGAGCCAGCTTGCCTGCCTGTGTTTGTGTAAGTTTGTACTCTTTCATCTTTTGGAAAGAAGAAAGGTGAGACAGAACAATTTCAGATCTATGCTTTTGCACCTTGGAAGCATCAACTACCATTGTATTTTTATTTGTAATAACTGACTTCATGTGGTAACTTGTGATTATATAGTGGTTCAGCGGACGTCATATAAAACACAAATCAAGACAATCGTTTGGAACCTCAGATCCACGTTTTGGACCAAGATGGACCCTAAAGCCTTTGTAAATCGAATCTGTTGTAGGAATAAAATAGACAGAAGCTGTAGCCAGGTGAGCTGAGCACACCGGATTTCCCCCACCCCCCTCTCCGTTTTCCTTACTGGGGAGAGGGGGGTGTCGCGGGTGCGTGTATTCATTCCCGTGGCAAACGCTCACGGCCGGGCCTGCGAGCAAAGATCCTCTTGCGGGCAAACGTCACCGAAGGCTGCGATGGAGGGAAGCCGAGCCACTGGAGGGAGAGCAAGAGCTGCAGACGAAGCTCGGCTTCTGGGGGAGCGCGCGAGGAGAGGGCGAACGCTCCGCGAAATCCGAGAGCCCCCCCGAACGTGCCGGACTGAGGAAGCCGCGGGGGCGCCAAGGAAGGAAAGGCGAGCCAAGAAGAACCAGCGAAAGGACCGGGGGATCCTAAGGCTGTTACGAGGAAGGCTCCGGGGCTGAGGAAGAACCGAGGCGGCGGCGCTGGGCAGCCAAGCAAGGCTGACTTGGGGTGGGGGTGGGGGGGCGAAAGTGCCTCGCGCCATAGCAGCGACAGCCTTGGAAGCGTCCTGGGGGGGCGGGGGGGGGCGGCGGCCGGGGAGGTTGCAGGGCAAAAAGCTGGCAGGGGGGGTGCGGGGGGGGGGGGGCTCGAGGCACAGCGGGGGGGGCGAGGCGCACCCTGCAAAATGCGAAGGACGCGGGACGCCTCCGGCCAAGGAGCGGCCGGGAACTCGCTGCGGCAGGCACAGCAGCCAAGGTAATCGGAGGCCGGGAGATGCGGCGGCTGCGGGCATCGCGGCGCCTGGTCGAGTTCCAGAGGTGGGCAACGTGTGGATCGGCGACGGAGGCACGTGAGTTTCTTCCGAAGACTTCGGGATGAGGAGGAGGAGGAGGAGACGGCAGCGGCGTTTCTCTGAGGCGATCCGAAGAGGGGCCGGCTGGCCGGAGGGACTCTTGTTTCTCCACCTCCCGAGCAGAAGAACCATTTCCCCCGCCTTGGCTCCGTAGAAACTGGGCGGTTTCGGGAGTTAAACGTGAGCGCCGCTTCTTCAGATTCGTTGGGCGTCTCGGCTGAAGCCACGTGCGGTGAGGACAGCCGGAGCGGCGGCGGAAGAAATCGGACTTTCTCGCCGCGGGACACGCCGGAGAGGAGCCGCTTCCTCCTCTTCTTCTTCCCGCACCTTTTCCAGTCTGCGGCTCCTTCTCGCGCCAGCGCCTTCCTGCAGCCCCGGCGCCTGTCGGGGCGTCAGCTCAAAGCTGGGCAATAAAACCCGGGGCTCAGAAAACGGCGCGGAGCTGAGAGACGGAAGAAACGCGAGCCGGGTTGAAGGCCGCGGGGGGGCGAGGACTTTCCCTCGCCCAATTTGGTCTCTCCCTCCCTCCCTTCCTCCCTCTCATTTGATACCCTTCACTCCGACCGTTTGCAAAGAGGAGCGGAAAGGCGGCGAGAGGACCGGCCCTGCCTCGTTCCCCTTCTTCGGAAAGGGTTTTAAGAGACCGGCGAGGGTGAAGTAGCGCTCGACGCGGCCGGTCTTCTTGCTCGCCTGCCGTGCGGAGGAGGGTGGGTGGGCAGGGAGGGAGGGAGGGAGGGAAGCCTTGCAAGGAGGAGCGCTGCGCTGGAGTGGGAGGAAGAGATGTCTAAAGCCCGAGGCAGAGCTGTGCTTATTCTGAGCCTCCTGTTTCTGACAACTTCGCTTGCTGCTGTCCAAGGGCTGCCCTTGAAGAAACAGCGCAGTCCCCACCCGAAAGAAACGGACTATACCTTGGTGGAGGTGAGTGAAAGCAGCCCACCTTGCCTTCTTCTGGCAAGCCTCAGCTGACAGGCTTCCTGGCCATTCCTCAGCCCTTGCTCGAGATGCTTTCTTAAAGGGCAGAAGAACATATAAACCTTAGCAAAAGATGAATGAAAGACCCTTCGGTCTGGCTGCTTGTTAACTGCCGGACCAAGGTCCCCCCTGTAGCTTCATCTCTGCCCTGAAGGTTCCTCGGAAGGTTTATTTTCTCTTCAGTTTTGTGGCCAGAGATGAAAGCAGGCTATATTCTCTTTGCAGGAGCCCCCCCTGTCTCCTGCTGCTTATTCCTGACCTGCGGGCGTCATTCTCTCCCTTTATGATGCCTGTCCTTGCCTTGGCAGGAGATGATTGACCTGCCACAGACAGTGGGTAAATGGTGGCTCCAGGTGGGGACTGGGGCCGGTGGGGGTGAGCAGCAGAAGTAGCTGCTGTTGCACCTTCCCTACAGACCCGGAAGGAGGCTGCTATATTTGCTTGCTTGCTTGCTTGCATGTGTGGAATGCATGCCCACCACTGGCCACAGCAGGGGGTGGTCTCTGACTTGTGGGTGGATGTGCTTTTTTTTACTCTTTCATTTCTTCAGCAATTAAGCCCTCTTGTCTCCTTGCTTTGTCCTTTCCCGAGGTTGGATTTGCAGCATGAACCATTGCTCATTCTGAAAGGGGCTTATTGTGCACAAGCGCATGCTTTACCATTTGGGAGCCATTCTTCCTTTTGAGATGCACCAGATTATTTTAGTCAGAATTATTTGGGGAAGGGGTAATTGCTGAAGATGAGATGGGAAAGATGGGAAATATTTGAAATTAGTGGAGGCATCAGCTGGGAGGGAAAACAACTTGGAGAAAATGGAAGAAGAGCGTCCTTTTGCTGGAGAAATGTCTTTTTCTCCTTTTTTTAACATGGTTGGCTCTTTTGAACAACTCATTTACATTTGATACATGAATGAGAAATTAAATCTATTGCCTCCCCCCACCCCGCCCCCCCCAGACCCCAATAAGAACTAGAAATGTTGTGGTTCTGTATGTTCCTGTTGTCTGGAATTATTGTGACCCTCACAGTAATCAGGATGTTGCATGCTTACATCTCAGCGCCAAAGCACTCTGGGTTTGTTCAGCAAGCCTTTAAACCAAGTATTGCGACTTTGTTCAGATGTTCACTTCTCTGCTGTCATAAATGCAAGAGTTTGCATTTCATTGGTTACTGTTTTTTTCTTTAATATCAAGGAGACAACCCAGTTGCTAATGTTGCATTCAGTAAGTGAATATTGAATATGGCAACTCATGTTAAAGAAAATATGTTCCCAAAAGGGAAATATTATGCTTATGTGTGGCATTAAGAAATTATTGGATAGTGGCTATTGCCACTTGGGGATTTTTCACTCTTCTTTGGGTCACGTTAATAATGACTGGGTCCCCGTGTAACACAATAATATAAATTCAAAAAAAAAAAAAACTGGCTTCAGAGCTTTTAATTAACCAATTTTTCTGTAGAGGTTCCTGTGTTCTGTATAGCTTGCTGGTCTAATTACTCTAATTAGTGGGCAAGGATTGGGCAGAGCAGCTTTTGAGATGTTCCTAAAACAGCAGAGAATGCTCAGGGTCACTTTTAAATCATCAGATACACGTTTTGCTGCTCTTTCTAAGAGCAAGCCCTAAGTGTCTTTAATTTTCTCTCTTACCATAGAATTACAGCTGCAATTACCAGCTGTTTCCTAAATCTAGATTTGACTTAGGCTTTTCCCCCCAAATTTTTTCTCATAGAATGGATACAATCGGAGAATCCCCAATAGTTTTCAATGTTTCTTGCTGCCAAAAGCCAGTTAGGTGAGCACTGTTTGTTCTGCAGCTGCTGTTTGTGTTTGACACAAATCTTCTGGCTGGCTTTCTGCACAGCGGCTGCTCCCAGGTGGCAAAGCTTGCATTCTTCAGCTGCTGGGCTGCACCAGTACAGGAAATTGGGAAAGCATGCTAACCTTTGAAGTCAGCAAAGGGCTTTTTGCTCTGGATGTATTGAGGCAAATGGATTGCCATGGATGGCTTCCCCGTGTTGTCCACCTGGAAGTTATGTAAACTTTGCAGTGTCTTTTCTTAACACTGTAAAATGTGCTAAATCCAACAACTGAAATGGTATAGGGCAGGGGTGTGAAACTCACGTTGTCATGGCGATGTCACATGATGTACTAGGACTTTTTTTGCCCTTTTGCCAAGCCCAGGGGCGTGGGCGTGGCCAGCACATGATACATCCAGCCCACAGGCAGAGTTTAACAGCCCTGATATAGGTTTCCTCCTTTATAGGAGATTGGACTAGAAGACCTTCAAGGTCCCTTCCAACGCTGTTATTCTATTATTCTGTTAACTGTTCTGGATAGTTTTATACCAGAACTAATTGAAAAGCAAGAGGAAAGGAGGGAGGGAGAGGGGGAGAGAGAGAGAGAAATATTGTGATTGAAAAACAATATTTCTGATGCTGGAAAATATAATTTCATACACATGTAGGCCTAAATAATTTTTTTTTTTGCAGTTTCTCACTGTGATTTTTGTCAAGGATGTCACAGTTAGTAGATCTTCTCCCCCCACCCCAACTTTTCCTCGGTTCTAATTATTTATGTCCTCTCTGCTTGTTCAGATATCTGGTAACCCTGCTTGTTACAAACTTTAAGATGTCTTATAGAGAGGCCAGAGGAGGTTATTATTCCATTAACTAGGTCAGTGACGTTCTTCAAGCAATCAAAGTTGTCCAAGCTGCTTGTGGACTTTGAAAGTTTTGTTTCACACTGACATATTAAGCTTCCTCTTCTGCCATCTCCTATTGGTTTAGTGGGTAGAATTGCAGGTTGAAGTCCCCCTCCAAAGCCTGCCTGCCTCTCTCTGAATATAGATAAACAAGCCACATTTCAGTCCATTTCCTTCTTTCCAAAGAAAGGTCAAAGAGCATAATACAGCCAGGAAGGAAGCAGGTGGTAAAAGCAGCTTTCCTGGTCAAAACAATTAAAAGTAGCATTGAAGCCTTTTGATGGCTAGCCAGAAAGCCTGTTCTCAGTGGTTGGCCACAGCAGTTTTAATCCAGTTAAAGGTGAGAAAGGAACAATGCCAACTTGGTGGAGACTCACCGTGTTTCTGATCTGGGGCCAGAGGGAGCTATTGTATATAAGGTTACTGTGGTTTCAACTTCGTATATAATCTCTTGTGTGACCATTCACAATGATCCTCTATTATCAAGGTTTTTCAAATTGTGTGCTGTGGAATATGAGGGTTCTGTAAATAATTCCCCATACTAGGTAGGTTTCCTCAAACATAGTCAGTTGCTTTTCACTGGAGATTTGCACCTTGATCAGGGTTCCAGGACCCTTGTGTCTCTTCTCCCTCCCTCCCTCCTTAAAAAAAGGCTCCATTCAGTAGTTGGGCAACAAGATTTTAACATGGTCAAGGTCATGATTTTTATACTAGAGTAAAAGAGAGCAGAGTCTCAACTTATCTGGAAGGTACCTCCGTTCACTGTTGATTAGTCAAAAATCGTTCAGACAGAACTTAAGCTGTGTTTTTATAGCTTTTTAATTTAATTTAGCTTTTGGAAGCATTTCCATCCTGTTGCCAAGTAAACTACATGGAGTAAACTACATCATGATTTGGCTCAAGAAAGCCTTTTATCTATTTTGGGTAAGCCAGCATCCTATTGTTGGACAGAGCTTTCTCTTGAAAACTCAGATTTGCATTTGATCATCCTTCTGGGTTAAATCCTAAATTAGGCTAATCAGATTTCAGAGATGTCTTTACACAGTTCAAGCTAATATACCAATTACATCCATTCCTTGGAATGCTGGATTAGACTAAGTTAACACGTGGTTTCTGTTCATTTTATTTGGACTTTCTTGTACCTACCGTACGTGATAGAATGGGAAGAAGACAATTTTCATTAAGAACTTTCATTTCGTGAGGAATTTATTCAGGTGCTTTCAGTCAAATATCAAACTGTCATTTTGGTTTCTCTACATAAACATTTTAATGTAAACTGTGAAAAGGATTCATTGTATTTTACGATAACCAAGGGCCATATTTAATCTTTCTTGCATTCAAGTTAACATACCATCAACAACCGAGGTCTCTTAGGAAAATGAAATAAAAATGAGAAGGTATTAGAAACAATTTATTTCCACAATTAAAGACACCAGCAAAAAGGATAGATTTTCCCAAATCAGAAGGGAAAGAACTGCAACAATGTAAGGAAGTCTCAGCTGAGTTTTTGAGAAGAGCCCAAGAGCTGAAGTGGAATGGGGTAAAGATATACACAGGCTGAGCTGAGATTATTGCTTTTGTTTTCCTGATTTTGAAGGGAAAGTTGAGGTTTTACTTTGGACATTTTAAACCTATTTAAGTTAATTTAGTGCTTACACAAAACTTTTATGCATTTCCTGTCCCTGTAATTAAAGTCAGAGGAGAAGGACTATGAAAAAGGGACTTGGGGTCCGCAAGGTACCTATACTTTGAGTTAAGGGAAGGGGCTTTTTGTTGATACTTCTTAATAAGTGATCTCTTTTCTAGAGAGTTTTGCACCAGATGAGGCACAGATCTTGATCATTGTTGCTTGTCAGGGAGAGAGAGATGATAAGAGTCCAACCATCCAAATAAACAGAACGAAATAGTTGGAACCTTTTCTTTGATTTTGGTATCTGAGATTCAGCATACCCTATCTGAAGAACCTGGTCTCAGGGCTGACAGAAATAAAAGTATTATTATATCTTTTATTCATTAAACATGAAACTCTGTCAACTGAACATTTAAAAATGTATCACAAATACCAGTGATTGGTACTAATGGTTGATATGGGTTGCTGTCAGCATCCTAGGTATCAACCAAGTATCTTCTTAAAATATACTATGTTCCAAGAATAATAATAAAATATTACTATTACTACTATTATTATTTATTTTATTTTTTATTTATTTTATTTGGTTTGTCAATTGCTAATTGACAATTGTTTTGGTTTGTCAATTGTCAATTGATAATAGGTATAAGTAAAAACATAGTTATGGATACATGGATACATATAAGAAAAATAAAAAAAGAAACAATAGGACAGGGACGGTAGGCACGTTGGTGCGCTTATGCACGCCCCCTACAGACCTCTTAGGAAAGGGGTGAGGTCAATAGTAGACAGTCTAAGGTTAAAGTTTTGGGGTTTGGGGAAGAAACCACAAAGTCAGGTAGAGTATTCCAGACATTGACCACTCTGTTGCTGAATTCGTATTTCCTGCAATCAAGTTTGGTGCGGTTAACCATGAGTTTGTATCTATTGTGTGCTCTTGTATTACTATTAATATATTAATTCATATATAATACTATCATCATCATCAATATTATTATTATTATTATTATTATTATTATTATTATTATTATTATTA